AGTGCATTATAGTTATACATAACATTGGGGCTCATTTTGACATAATCATCCATGAATGAAATGTGATTTTTCTCCACCTCAGTTCCCAGAACTTCCTCTAGTTATGTATTCTTGAACAAGTCATCACCACCCTACTTTCATCCCCAGGTTTCAGTTTTTTCACATGTAAAAATTCATTGGAACAGGATCTCAAAGAATACATTCTACTGACATGAGCCAATAATATAATTTTCTTTTTAAAAAATAAAGTAGAATCTCACCAGCCATACATTGTATTCCTTCTTTACATGCAAAATACTTTGCTAACCACTCTAGAGGGAAAATGGGGAAGTAAAATAGTTGAAGGAGAAAATGTAAAGATATAATCCTGCTTTCAAGGAACTTGCAATCTAGTTGAACCTACTGACCTCACTTTAAAATGAGCCAAAGTAAATTCTATTTCATCTGTGGCTCTCATGTAAATTTTTGTTGGATGAGGAACAAACAGCTTAAATTTAGCACTCCTACAAAGTTGTGTTTATTAATTTTTTGCTTTGGTAGAATGTTCTGGTTAAAAAATCCTTGTTACTTTTTCAAGAGTTACACTAAAGAAAAATAATAAAGTAACATTACTAATGAATTTTAAACCTAACGTACCTCAATAAAGCAAACTTTAAATGAGCTAGTCTGATTCAACACATTTTTGGGCACCATTATAATCCTTGCTAGGTTATGCAGAAACTATACATATTGTTAGATCTGCATCTATAATTTAATAGTAAAGGTTAGGCAGATATAAAAATTACTAAAAGAAAAAAGTAAAAAGAAGAAAAAAGAGACAAAAGTAAGTAGAAACAGAAAGCTGAAATCTGTGACTGAACCATGCAACCTTTCTGACAACCATTCTCAAAGGTCTGAACATCCCCCAAATACCATTTTCCCTCCTTCCTATCTGTTCCTTCCACATCTGATCTTTCTACCAAATCTTCCTTCATTATGCCCTCTGGAATTCCTTGTCCATTTTAAATAGGTTCTCCAAATCCTAAAACACCACAAAGAATTGTCCCACTACTCCTTGCCTTAAGTAAAACTTGATCCTTGCCATTAAAAATAAGTTGCTCATTTTTCTACTCCCACTCCATGTACTATGAAAGCAAGAGAGTGTATTTGCTATCTCCTGACACCCTTGTGCCACATCTAAACCAGGACTCATCTACCATAATGCTAAAAGCTATTCATCTGTCACCCTCTAATCATCCTTACCGATGTCATTGTCTGTTGATCTCCCAGTTATCCTTTTTTCCTAATTTACTGGATGTTTTAGAATTTGACTCTTTCAGTCCTCCTTTCACAACAGACAACATCGTCTTCCTACTTCATCAAGAAAATTGTTTCTCAGGAATGGACAATCTCTATTTTGGGAGCTGCCGTTCTTTTTCTCCTTGTGTCTGTATTCTTTTCTCACTCTGCATCCTCCAGGAATTCCCCACTCCCTAACAGATGAGCTCAGATTCTTTTTATTTTATTTTTTTTATTTATGTGGTACTAGAGATTGAACCTAGATGCACTTTACCAATGAGCCACATCACTATCTCTTTCTAGTCTTTATTGTGAGTCAAGGCCTTGCCAAGTTGCTGAGGCTAGCCTTGAATGTGCAATACTCCTACCTTAGACTGCTCAGGACTTGGGGTTATAGGTATGCATCACATGTTCAGCATAAACTCAAAATTTTTAGAATGCCATATAACACCTTTAATGGCCTAGTTTCTGCATTTCTTCCCAACCTAATTTGTCACTTTAAACCTCATAATTCAATCACACACACATACACGCATGCACACACACACACACACACACACACACACACGCATGCATACAACCTTCATCTTACATTTCACCCATATTAAATTATTAGATGCTCCCTAAATATGCCAGGCTATTTCACACCTTGACAACTTGCACATTTTACTTTCTCCCCGACCCCCAGCCCCACTAAAATGCTCCTCTACAGTTAGGTGCAGTAATGCTTGCCTGTAATCCCAGAGACTTGGGAGGCAGATGCAGGAGAATCATAAGTTCAAAGCCAGCCTCAGCAACTTAGCAAGGCCCTAAGCAACTTTGGGAGACACTGTCTCAAAATTAAAAATAAAAAGCCTGGAGTTGTGGCTCAGTGGTTTAGCATTCCTGGGTTCAATCCTCAGTACCAAAAAGAAAAAAGAATATTCCAAATGAACATAAAGCCTTAATTTAGATTTTCATTGTTTTAGAATAATCACTGCCTTAATGTTCAAACATCTATTTAAGTTGTGCTGATAAAGGATAAATGTACGTTTGTTTATGCCTTTTTTGTAAATAAAGATGCCGTGATCTATGGCTTCTGTTTGTAACAATGTTTGTTAATATAGCCAATAGAGTTATTTACAAAAAGTGGAGCATGTAATTGTTCTTCATATACAAGAACTGCTCTGTCTTAGTTACCTGGATTGTCCTAAGATCATTTGTAAAAATTGAAATTTGGTTATTAAAAAGAAACTAGAATTCTCCAGAAAAAAATGAATGTTCCTCTCCATCTGCCCTCTCTTATCCTTTATGAAGCTTTTTATAACATCCATAAACTATTTACTATTTCTATTCTCTGTGTCTTTATATTCTTATAGCACAGCTGCTATAATGATACAGTGCATTAATTTGTTAACATAACTGTGTCTCCCTCTAGTATAATGTAAACACTTTAAGGGTAGGGCCTGTGACTTATTTTCTAAATGTCTAACACAAAACTGGAACATATTAAGTGGTTAATAACAACCCTTTTAATACAATTATTATATTACAGTAACTAAAAGAATAGGAACCTTTTTATGGAGGAGATGAGGTAAGAGATTGTCTGAAAGATGATTAGAATTACATCTGATTGTGATGAGGAAAGAGGGTATTTCACAGTTGGCAATATGACCTGAGCAAAGGAAAAAAAATGAGAAACAGAGCTGGTCATAAGGTCATATTTATGTAATGGACACATAGTAAACAACAGGAAAGTGACTCTATATAGTTAGAATGGAATATTAGTATAGTCTTGAGTAGTTCTTTGAGTTTAATCAATTGGTCACTGGAGACTCTTGAGAGGAAAGTGATATGAATTGAATTGCATTTTAAGAAGAATAATTCAGTATAAGTCATAAGGACAGAAAAAAAACTGAAAAGAAAGTTGCAATTTCTAATATACTATAAACAGTATTTCCATATTATAACAAAAAAAAGAGAAGAAAAATGGATCAATCATTGGTGTGCAGTCTTCTGCACAACTGCTCAACCACCACAATTTGCACCAGTGTATGAATTTGTGTTATGTGTCAGTGTTTCATGAAAGGCTTTTTGGAATCTGAAACCTAACCAACCATGTGGTGTAGTGAAAATAGCACTGGACTGAGTCAGGCATCCAGGCTCTGTCACTAATTTGGTGTGTTACTTTCAGCAATCATTTTATCCTTCTGGGTCATGAAGGGAGTAGGGTTGGATTAGATGTTCTCTAAATACTCTTCCAGCTCAAATATTGTTTAAAAAATTAAGTTGTCCAATTCCAAACACTGATTATTATAGCCATTTCTGGTAACTTCTTCTTACTAAGTAACTCTGTTTAAGAATTATTTTCAGTATCCTAACACCTCCTTCCTTTCATTAACTTGTGCACAGTGATTTGGTTGAACTTACAGTTGCGTGGGAACATAGCTTTCATCCCTTTTCATATGACTCACTCTGTAATCATGCTGGATCTGAAATCCTCATGAAATTCTGAACACCAGACACTAATACTTTATTCTTTGTCCTGCTATTTCTTGTTCTAAATAGGAGTGTCCAAGTAGCACTGGTATAATTTTTCTACCAGAATACACCTTAGGGAAGCAAATTTGATATTATGCTAATAGATTCAAAGCAACAAGAAGGGCCATGAGAAATAATTCAGAAAAGTCTAATGGGATGAGATTTATACCTTTTTATGTAGGGAGCCAGAAGCTTCTGAGAAGGGATAAAGTATGATCTATATGGTGTTAATCATGACTACCTCTCTGTTCCTGACTCATGAATAAGTTGAAGCTTGCTTTTCAAACTTACACCCATTATTCATATTCATTCTCCCTCTCTCCTCTGTCTGTCTCTTTCTCTCACCTTGCAACAAAATATCACATTTCTTGACTGGTATTTAACAAACTACATAAATACACTTGGTGTTCACGTTAGTTACATTCCCTATTTCATTTAATTCTTAAAAGATATTCAGAATTCTAACCCCCACCCATTAGTTGGTAACATCCATATAATTTTCTATCTCTGGATTTTCTCAAGTATATTAATAACACAGTGGTAGAACAAGCCCAACCCTGTGACAATGTCACTGCCAGACAAACATGAATCAAGTGTCATCCTCAAGCATGAGTCCTGTCACCAATTCAATGCCAGTTAGAAATACCTATTGAAGGCTTACCATGTCCCAAGCCCTGACTTAAGCTTGCTGACAACATGAAGATGGATGAGTCATGCTCTCTGTCCTAAATAGCTTCAGTTAAGAAGAGCTAAGCCAAATAAATAAATAGACATAATAGAAACTTAGGAAACATTTTTTAAATTAATGCATGTAATACTAGGCAAACAGTAATAAATTGTATAGTTATAATGTATTTTCCTATTTTGTTACAAAGGATAGAATTTAAAGGCTTAAATCAACCTGATGATCTCTTCTCTTTAGAAATTCAGTTTAATTTCTTCTTATTACTTCTTAATATTTAATATGAACTGATTTTCAACTATTTTTATAAATATTTTTCTAGACATAAAGTTAAATTTAGAGGCTCAGTTTAGCTGAATTCATTAAACTAATTATTTGAGAGTATTTTAGATAAGGCCCAACAGATATTTTCTTTTATTCTGTTTATGATTTGACCACAAGCCTTTAATCATGTAATCAAAATCATTCAATTCAATCCAATTTAATTCATAACTTTTCATGTGCTATTTACTTTACATAGTCAAATCTTCTTCCAATTCAATCTATTCACTGAGAACAGATACCAGGCTGCCTATACCTGAGAGGAATGTATCTGCATTACTGTTTTCTACAGTATTAAAGGAAATAAGGTACAGTTTTCTCCTTCATATTCAAGGGTACTCAATATGGAGCAAATGGATGATATTCTGTTTACCCCTTGGGTCTTTCTTTAATGGCACCATGTACCATTTTTCAAGAATTTCTTTCAACACTGCAAAAACTTGCCTACATTCTCAGTTTCTTCAGTAATTTGGCCTGCTTCATTATTTTCATCTTATACATGAGAAAACTGAGTATCAGACATGTTAAGTAACTTGCCTAAGGTCAACCACCTAAGTATAGATTCTACTATAACTCAAACTCAGACCCATCCTGGCTCAAAAGCTGTTTTGTTTTTGCCATTATATCCATATTATCCTTGCCTCAGAAGAAAATTAAACTGAGTTTTTCTCCTTTCTTAAAGGAGAAGTAGTTTGTATAACTAAAATAAGAAGTCATTGTTTACCAACCAGGGAACTTGTTATACATAAGAGATGGTATAGAATAAAGCTAAAAACCTATTTGCCCACTGACAGATGAATGGATCAAGAAAAGGTGGTTTGTCCACAAAATAAAATATAATTCAGCCTTTAAAAAGAAGGAAATTCAGATACTGACCAAATTATATTGTTAAATCATGTGCATGTACATATATGTAATAGCAAATTCTATTGGTATGTAAAACTGTAATATACCTATAAAAATGTGGAGGGAAAAAAAAGGAAATTCTGTAAGGTGCAAAAACATGAATGAGTACTAAGGACATAATGCTAAGCAAAATAAGCTAGTCACAGATAGACAAATAATGCATTATTCCATTTACATGAAGTACCTAAACTAGTCAAATTCATAAAATCAAAGAGTAGAATGTAGTTGCCAAATGCTGGGAGGGTGGGAAAGAAGAGCTATAAATCAACAGTCATAAAGTTTCAATTAAGCAAGATAAATAAATTCTAGGATTCATGTTTAAGCAAGTAAATATTTATTTTGATGTTATTTATCTGATCTAAAAGACATTTTTGTTTTAAGTAATATATTGGAAGGTATTCAAATATGCCTGACAAGGCATAACAACCTAACTTGAAGATATATCACTAAAGACTCTCATCAGCAGAGACAGGGTTGTAGTTTGTTTCCTTTCAAGTATTTGAATTCTAAAATGATCTCAATAGATGATCTTAATTCTGGAGTTTGGTTCCCAGAAAACTGTGATAAATTTTCCAAAAATACACAAGAGGAATAGCTGTCTTAAACTAAATTTGGGTACTTTAATATTACCAGTTTCAAGGTGTAAAACAAATTTCAAATCTTTTTTACTTGTGTTAAAAAAGGACTAGTTTGTCTAGGTTATTCAGGGTCCAAAAACAAAACTGTGCATGTTAAGGATAAGATATATTTTCTCAGAAATCAAGTCCTGTTAGAAACCCTGAAGAATAGATTTGGGGCATTTTTATGAAAACCTGAATGAATAGATTATTAATCCTAGAATCCTGAAGCCATATGATCAGACAGGATGGGCACCTCATAGAAGAGATGATAAAAATGAACTGACAAAGATGGCTTCAGGATTTTCTATTTTAGAAAACCTGAAGTATGTGGTCCTACTGTCAGAACCAGAAATATAATTTGCAAAAGGGATAAGGCCAGGGAGAAGGACTTGTGAGCCCTGGCAAGTGGAGCAACTTTAAATCATAAAACTAGCACTTAGTTTACAAACCAATGGCAAATCTAGAACTATTGTCCTGCCTTTAGAGGGCCTGACCAAAATGGTGTCTTGAGGGGCTAGGACCGTAGCTCAGCGGTAGAGCGCTTGCCTAGCACGTGTGAGGCCCTGGGTTTGATCCTCAGCACTACATAAGAATAAAATGAAGATTAAAAAAATGGTATCTTGAATATAGTTGATATAGTTAAGGAGGAATTGAGTCTTTCCCACAGATGTTTTTCTGAGAGAAACTCAGGGAACAACGAGCAGTCCTAAACAATCTTGTGTTCCTCTTTTTGAAGCTATAGAACACTTATCCTACTTCCCTCAAGAAAAATGAATACCTTAATCTTTATAGATTTGCAAGTGGTAAACTAAAATGGACTCAACAGATCATATAATCTAACCCTATTGTATTACAGATAAGTGAAGAGATAACAGAGAGAAAGTGATTTGCCCAAGATCACTTTATTAATCATCCACCAGAAACTAAGGCATGATTCATGTTTTCTGCCTATCAGTCCTACAAATTTTCCACCAATCCTATTGTCTTTATCCATGCAAGAATTCTCTTTAATTTTGATAAGACATCAAGGAAATGATACAGAAAGTAGATTAATTTGAATCAACCCAATATTTAAAGGCACTATAGTATGTACAGCAGTAAACACTAAAGGGATAAGAACTGTTTATTGTCCTTTGTTCTAGTGAGACCAGGATGAGAATAATGCATAACCTCAACTCAATGACCACAGAGATGACTACAACAAAGCAAATAAATGAAAAGTATCAAGAAAGACACAAACAAGTCAGGCACAATGGCACATACCTGCAATCCCAGCAGCTCTGGAGGCTGAGGCAGGAGGATCATGAGTTCAAAGCCAGCCTCAGCAAAAGTGAGGCACTTAGCAACTCAATGAGACCCTATCTATAAATAAAATACAAAAAAATAGGGCGGGGGATGTGGATTAGTGGTTGAGTGCCTCTGAATTCAATCCCTGGTACCCCCACTCAAAAGAAAAGAAAGAAAGAAAGGCACAAACAAAATACTATAAGACTTCAAAGGAAAGAAACATAAAATTGTATTGAGAAGATCAAGAATGGCTTTTTGTTTGACTACAAACAAAGAAGAGGCACCATTACCATTTCATTTAGTAGAAGATATCAACCTGAGGACTACTTGGGTACATTTGTGAATCACCCCTTCTTTCTGAACCACATTTAGCACAGTAATTTGTAACAAATTCTTGTTCATATGTAATTCTGTTGCAGCAACAAGAGTTATGATGGATATGATGAGTTTGGACCTTATATCCTTATATCTCCAGCCTCTCTTATTTAAACAATGGTTTAGAAGGGCTGAGGGAGAGAGAGTATCCTCTTTTGTACAAAAATATGGATTCCATAATATTTATTGACTTGAAATAAATTGAACTTAACATGAGTCAAATAAATGATTTTAGTAACTCCTGGATTAAACCATTGAAATCAAAACTATATATCCATACTTCATCACTTCCACCCACCCAACCACCCAGATATGAATGATAGTATCCAATAGTGGCAGTAGCTCCTGTCAGAAACAACAGTCCTCAGTAGGGGTGAAAATATTGAGCACTTACTATGTACATAGCTAAAAATTCCTAAAGGAACCACAAAAGATCCCTCATAATCCCAAACTTGAAGAAACACTACACTGTTGCCCAGAAAATGTGGTATTTATTCATTTGTGCATATAGAGATTGGGCTAAACTATAATTACACAATTACCATGGAAAAGGATAGTTAGAGCATTTGGCTGGTAGTAAAGTTCCCATAGAAATTCATAAACTTTCTTTCCTATTCTTGCATGGATAAAGACAATAGGATTGGTGGAAAATTTGTAGGAGAAGTACAAGCTTGTCTAAACAAATAAACCAACAAAAAATTACAACAGAGGTGAAGATAATATTCTTCACTGATTAGATGAGTAGAATCATATAATTTTATGATCAGAAAGGATTTTTATATATTCAATATTTTGTCAGTATATCTTCATTAATATATAGAGACTTGGAAAAACTAAATAAACTATAAAGTTCACTGCCTGATTAACCAAATATAAAAGCCAACTCTGAATAATTCTCCACCTGCAACCCACACTTTCCCCAGACTATCATAGGTTGCCTTTATGAACTTCTTACCTGAAGAGCAGACAATTTGAAAAGGGAAAAGATATTGGAGAAGTTCTGAAAAAATGATTTGAGTAGAAGGTAGATGCAAATGCAGTATTGTAGCTGTGGATCCAGGTTTCTATTTTTTAAAACTAGACTATGTTTTATATTTTTTGAATTTCCTTCATTTTCCTTTTGGTTTTCATTTTTCCCCAGATGACTTCCTTTGGAAAGTCCAAACCTGTTTCTACTTGCTAAGAATAAACTGGAGGAAGATGTTTATTTTGGTGGCATTGGGACCACACATAAAGGGAAAATGGCTAGCCTCTAAAGACCTTACAGGCAGGAATGAAAGTTTTCATAGAACACAAAGAAAAATTTTTGAAAGAAAGCCGTTCGGGCTGCTTCATTTTCAATAAAACCATTCTCTGTTCATTACTTGGAAATCTGTTACAATTTGTTATATTGTCAGATAGAATTTAATTGAACAGATATATACTCATTAAAAGTTTTGTATATGCCATATGTGGTGATCCATGACCGCAATCTCAGATTCTCAGGGGAATCACAAGTTTCAGGGCAGCCTCAGCAACTTAGTGAGATCCTGTATCAAAATAAAACAAAAAAAGGTTGTTGTGTAAGTCAGTGGTAGAGCACTTTCCTAGCAAGTACAAAACACGGAGTTAAATTCCAAGTTCCAAAGGAAAAAAAATAAGTTAACTATACATGGTTGCAAAACAGCTTATCTCTGAATGTATGTATGCCAAATTATAGATAAAACAATAAATACCATCATGATATTATAGGGAGAAGAATCCAAGGACCTTTAAGCCATCCTTCCTTCAAAGAAAACTACACTTAAGCCGTTCCAGACAGACAAACTTGATATTTCCAATTTTCTAATTTCTATGCCTAAAAAACTAGATCCTTTGAAAAGAATTTGCAAGTCATTTCCCATTTGAACCTTATAATGAAATGTCTGTAAGAGAAAAATAAGGGAAACATCATGGTTTCATAGAAAAAAAAGGCATATTATCTAATACTGTGTTCAACTTTATGAAGAGAAGTCATATGCTCATGGCAGCAAACATCTGTGACCAAAAACTGTATTCTAAGTTCCTCCACTGGGAGTGTAAAAATGAATGGAGGGAAAAGAAGGTCATGGAATCCAATGACAAGCCCTAAATCTGTCAGTAAAGCTTTGATGTTCCACCACACATTATGGATGTGTACTTAATGCTGCTAAGTTCCCATGACCTTCTAGACTACTTCTGTGGTCATTAACTTTCTTTTCAATCTTATTATTTCAGCTTGGGCATACTTTGACATTCCAAAGAAGAACGGACCATCATAAGAAGGAATATTTGTGAAGAGTACTGCAGTTCCAGAAAGAGGTATGGTTTCCATTTTCAAAACGAACCTTGCTTTTTAAACTTGCAATTATCTTATAAAAATAACTTCCTTCATTATCTATACAATATATCAATTCCATTTATGTCTCTTGCTTGCCTTCATTTATCAACAAATGACTTATTTGCTTTGTGTTAAGATGACTCTTATTATACCATAGGGTGACCTCTCTACACTTCTAAGCTATTACTCCTCCCTTTCCTAACTATGAAGTGTTTTAAGGCAAGGATGGATTCTTACACATTTTAGATTTCCAAATGAATTCACTGTATCCATCTAGTAGGGTCAAATCATTGCGATATCATATAAATTTTATAAAAGTTGATTAAATGCTACTTTGGAGAAGCAAAACCATCATCTGTGAAACGATTGACTTAGACTACATGATGTCAACTCCTACAGAATTCACCACTTGTTTGAAAGTTTTATCATCTTTTTATGGCTTAATATAGATTATTGAGTTGATATGTTTATAAATTAACAATTGAATATAATACTGAAATTTATAGAAAAGCTTATTTTGGTGTATAAAGGATGATGAGCTTATTAGTGTAACTAGAGATAATCCAATTGTGTATTTTAATTGTTATTTATCAGCATTTGGGGGCATCTTTCATTAAAATGTCTGAGATTTTCAAATTTGTTTGTAATATGTAACAAATAAGCACATAATTAGTCAATGTCAAGGATATGGGTGTTTTTAACCCTCACAGCTAGTCTTATAATTAATTATCTTCTTTAATGCTTTATGAAGCAATTATACTTATACACAACTTTAGGCTCTGAGTCTGGAAAGGTGTTTAATTACATTGGAATGAGAAGATAATTCTAAGAGACTTCAAATGATAAATAATACATTAAAATGATAAACTTGCTCTATCATTGACATATTCATTCAGCACTTAACGATACTTATGGACAAGATATATATGCACTAAGCCCTGTATAAGATATCTACTTATCAGCCAGATAGTCTGGAAAGGAAGATAACACATCTACACAAATCTTTGATATACAAGTATATTTAAAGATCCCTATAAGTTCAACAAGAATAGAAATTTCTATGGATGGAGGCTGAGGGAGTGCATAATCAAGAAAGTTTAATTTGAAATGAATGATGGATAGATTTTGCGCATGCATAGATGGAGAAAAGGACATTTCCAAAAGAAAAAAATACCATGAAAAAAGACAGCCAAAAGGGAAAACTTGTAGCACACACCCCTAATATAGTAAAACAATTATTCATTTGAAGTATAAGAGTTATAATTTGGAGAAGAGAGAAACTGAAAAATATGAATTGCAGCCAAGCGATAAGGAGCCTTAAATATCAGGCTAAGAAGTCTGGATTTTATTCCAAAGGCACTTGGGAATCACTGACTTTTTAAAATTAACATGTAATGATTCATATAATAATGGGGTCCAATATGATAAGTCAACAAATATATATAGAACATACTGATTAAATCAAGGTAACTAGCATTAAAGATTTCAAAGGAAGAAAATGGCATAATTGGAAGCTCCAATGTGTAGAAAATTATTTAGGAAAGATTTTGTAGCAAGACAGTTTGAAGATTGATGGTGGTAGGAAGGGATGTTGACAATTATCTAATGTCTTTCAAGTGTGCCTCTTTCAAAGTCTATTGCAGAGGATAGAAGGCTGATTTCTAGGGGCTTCAGAGATCTTGATCAAGGGATACAAACTCTCAGTTATAAGATGAATCAAGTTCTGGAGATCTAATGTATAGCATGCTGAGTATGGTTACTAAGACTGTATTAAATACATGAAATTTTAAAAAAATATATTTTTAGTTGTAGATGGACACAATATCTTTATTTTATTTA